ATTGTGATACTAGAGTTGTATCTTCTTTTTACTCCTAGTTATTAACTTATTTAATTGAACTAAACTATGTGTATCCTAAAAGTTGTACCCCGAAGACATGTGCCAACATTTTGTACTAATATAATGCTCGTGTTATGGTTTACAATTACATAAAATGTCACTGCAATTTTTTTATTAAACTGACATTTTGTATAGGTGTCAGTATGAATTGTTAAAATACTATTGCATCCCTTTGGGGTACAATTTAGAGTAAACTTTTTGGTGTATCTCATGGTTGTATTTAATTTGTTTTTTATCAATTAACTTATATGAAGAGGTTCATACATAATACATTATTACACTTCTCGTCCTAAACTTTTCTCTAATATTTATAATACTCATTTCTTCACTTCTATTTCATATTACTTTTAGTTTTGTAAATCTTTGAATATTTTAAATACTCTATATATAATTTTGAAATAAAATATAATGAACAAAAATAAGTTGAAGACAACATCATATAAAGTGTGCCGTTGAGAGTTGAGATCACAGTATAATGTGAGGAAAATGCACTTAGCCTTAGCGTGGACTTTCAAAAATTTAAGGACTCGTTTAGTGAGTTTTGAAATCTGGTAAAATTGATATGAATTTTAAAATCTAAAATGAAATTGTTTTGAAAGATTTAAATTATGATTTAATAAGTAAAATTTGGAGGCAACCGACAACAGAGATGACTAGCTATGACAATAGTAGCCGGTGGTAAGGAATGACAATCGTACTCCTTATCAAACTTTGATATTCTGATATTCATATCCTTCGAATTCGAGAGATATGGAAACTCTCTATTTTAATAAATTGTGATACTAGAGTTGTATCTTCTTTTTCTAACCAAACACACCCGAAAGGGAATAGAATTATACGAAGGAAAATGCTAGAGGTACACCAAAAGTGTACTCCAAACAATCCCACCACCTGCATCACCACAAAAAAAGGCAAAAAAAATTCAAAAAAAAAAATAAAATTTAAAAACAAGATAAAATGAATGGTAAAAAGAGGGTGATGTACCCCTTTCCCTTCCCCTGGCATATCCGTTACACGAATTCATCGTCGTCCTCAATCTCAAACTGTCAGTGCATTCCGAATCGGGAGGAGTTCTCAAGATGTTGAGGCTGAAGAGACTAACCTCAGCTTCTGCATTTCTCAGTTCAAGAAGCTTGTTAGCACGCCAAGACAATCTGTTCCGCCCCCTCATCTCTCAACACAACCCGTATCAATGGTCTTCCCTTCGCTTCCTAGACATTTACCAGGTCCGTTAACCTAATTTGGTTCCTGAAAGCATGCTTGGATGGGATCTTATCTGAATCGTCTTATAGGTTTTTTTCGAAGTTTTTTTCATGTAAATCTTGAAAGCTGACACCCCAGTATGATTTGCAGCTTGGTAACAAGGCTGCGATTGAGAAAGAACGCGCGAGGCTGTAAGTTTTTTGGAGTTTCTGTACTGAATTCTTTCGAAGTGATAATGAATCGCAAATTGTGTTCTAATTGTATGGGTATGTGACTCTTTTTTTGGGGTTAGGGCAGTTCAGATGAACTGAGCAGGGGATATTTTGCTGACATGTCTGAAATGAAGGAACATGGGGGTAAGGTATGATTCTTTTGTGTGTGCAGTTAACCTGTTGATTTCTCTCAGGCTTCGTTTGGTACATGGAATTGGAATTTAAATTCTCCCATTCCAATTCATATTTTTTGCTACCAACTCCAAATCCACATATTAATTGAAGTCTCCCATTCCAATTCCATTGCCTGAATTCTGTGTACCAATTAGAACCTTAGTATTTTTGCAATATGAAGTATTCTATTTTGTGGAGTTAGTGTGACTTTTTATTTTTGCAGATTGCAATGGCCAATAAGATCATAATACCTGCAATAGCAGCTGTAAAATTTCCTCCATTAGAGGTGAATTACTCTAACAGCTCCATTCTCAAGCTGCCTATTGCTTGCTATGGGAAAGATAGTGCCGATGCAAATGTGCCGAGGGCATCATTGTTATGTCTTTCTTTTCGTGCAAGCTCCGAGGTTAGAAATTCTCTAGATCACTTTAGTTTATTTACATTGCTTATTTTTCTATAGCCCCAGTTAAACATTGTTATTCTTCCTTTTCAAGCCTTCCACTAGTAGAGTGTAAACATCAGTGTATGCACATTCTATGTATTTTTGTTGTTTCTCTGTTCCCAACATGTTATTGAGAAAATAGTACATATGTATTAGAAGCGCTTGAAGTTCTCATTTACTTTTGGTTTTGTACAATTCCAACATCATTGACAGCCAATGATTCATTCTTGGAGCGTGCCATTTGTTGATGCATTCAAAGATTCAAATAAGGTCCACTTGTATGAGGTATGTTTTGAATTTAAATTGAATTAATTCATTGAAGTACTACTCCCTCCATTCCGTAAAAAGGTTCCACGCTTGATTTTTATGGAGATTCAGAAATGTGAATTTGTGTGGTTGAAAGTGGTGTAGAGAAAGAAATTGTTCCCTCTTTCTCTCTCTCTCTCTCTCACACACACACGCACAAATCTTTTAATTTTTGCTTGGCGTCATCAATTTTCACACAACAATAGATTACAGAATGTTCAACAGTACATCTTATCATGCCTAATTTATGAACAATGTTGAACCTCTCAAATCACATTCGTGGTGATGTGGATATTGCATGAATATATACAGTTCTGTAATCTGCACTCCAGTCTCCGGACAAACCTTTTGTTGTACATTACCATGAACCATAAAGAAAAGCTTTTTCTTTTTTTCAATCCATGTAGAACCATAGCTAGTAATTTATAGGTACCGTGAAAAAATCATTCGATCCGCCAAAGGAGAGAAGGTATCAGTATAATCTAACCCATAAATTTTGGATGTCCGCTTTCACTACCAAACATGCTTTGAGACCACCAATTTTGCTATCAGGTCTAACCTTCACATTATGGATCTGCCGACAGCCAACATAAAACTTACCAGCAGGAAGCGGTGCTGAGGATGTTGATTTGTAATATAGAAAATGGACTGTATATGAAACATGAAATTGGTTTCTGAGTTCTGTGTGACCTGCTAATATTGTTCTCTGAAGTCTGAACTGAATTGAAAATGCTCAAGAATAGCCATATTTATTCTTAATTTTTTTATATCTTTGTTATTCAGAATGTATTTATATGCAGATATCCTTTGTAGATTCATGGCTGTTATCACGCAATCCAATGAAAAAGCTGCTTCTTCGTGTGATGAAGAAACCTAAACCTGATCTTCGGAAGGATGATGTATTGCAAAGACAGATTGTATACTCATTTGGTGACCATTATGAGTTCAGAAAAGAACTTAAAATACTGAACCTCCTGACAGGGTAAGAAGCACTTCCTCTCTGCACATTCAACTTTTACGGGTTTTGTCTTTGCTACCCTCTCTACCTGGGAGCCCTTGCATGGGGTTTAGAGAGTGGGTCCAAGGGCTCCTAGGCTTGCTTATAAGTGAAATGAATAGTTGTCCTGAAAAATATAACAGGTACATATATTTAGTGGACAAATATGGTAGAATACGATGGCAGGGTTTCGGTTCAGCAACACCAGAAGAGACGGCATCACTCTTGTCATGTACCTCATTGCTATTGCAAGAGGAATGACAGGCTATAATGACAGGCTTGACAATATGGAAAGGAAGTTAGCAAGTTTCTTGGAAACTGATCTCTAGTCTTTGGATGTTTGGCAAGGATTCCTTGAAAATTGCTGGCATAGATGTTGTGTAATAATGAAATTTTTATTGCCTTTATTATTATAAGTTGTTAAAAATCTTTGTTATATATTCAATATGAATCTGGTTTTTCATTATTGTTCTTATATAGGAATTTCAAAATTTCAAAATAAACTGAACTTGAAGGTAAAAATTAAATGATTTCTCTCCCAAAATAGGTTCCAATCTTTTTCTTCCATCCCAAAACAAGATTCTTCATTTCCCTTAAGAGTTGTATTCTTCATATTATTTCTCTTCTCTATATAAATTTCAGCTTCATATTTTTTTGTTTCTTAATAATATCAAGTTGAAAACAAAAATTTCTATGCGACAGTGGAGTGCTAGATGTTAAGTACACTTGTGTCAGTCAACGGAGTTAAAAGAGTCATTATTGACTTTATTTTAGGTTTGTGTATAGGAAATATTATCTCAAATATTCCACTTTTAAGTAGTTTTTTAAAAATAATCTTGCCATTTCATTTTGATGCTTAATAAGTCAATCTTTAGTAGGGTTTGTGAGTTTTGGGTTGCTTTTAAGACTCTAATGGTTATATAGACATGGCAAAACATAACTGTAGTTAATTACTTACTTGAACCAAATGATTCAAAGTTGAAAATCAAATGATCTAAAAAGTTAAAGTGTGTTGTATCACTTAATACTCAAAATGATCCGATCTGAACCAAAATCGAAATAAACATATCCACACCTGATTTAAATCTGAAATCAATTAGATTCAAGCCAATTAACTTGAAACCGATAATCCCTAAAATTAGTTATATCCGAAATCGATAAAACCCAAAATTGATTATATTTTTTCATTAAACATATTATAACAATTATGTACATAAGTGCACAACTACATTTGTAATTTCAATTTATCACTTGAACAAGTATGTTATATATTTAGATACTTCCTCTGTCCTATTTTTGTTTGCAATTGAAATATTTTCATCAAACTGCTCCACACTTTGACCTTCAAAATAGGAAAAGAGTAGGATATGATTGAGATTAAGGGGATTAGGAAATGTAGAGAAGGAGAATGAAGAGTAGGAATGAGCTAAATATTGTTAAGAAAAAAGTAAAATAATGTGAGATGATAAACTGGTGATAGAATTACAAATGCTATGTGACGAAAAAAGAAAATATGTAATTTTAAATTTTGATATAAAAATGATATATCAGAATTGATATCTATCCAAGACTAATTTATATTTGAGCTAAAATATATCTAAAATTGAAATCTATCTTAACAGATTTATATATGAGTCGTATCTCACCGATCCAAAATGAAACTGAAACCAGAAATTGCATGAAACCCAACTAAGTTTGAATCGAAATTTAACAAAACCGAAAAGGACTGATTATAACACATATCCAGAAGATATCCAAATTGAATAAATCTGAACACGGACCGATCTGATTGCCAGGTTTAGGTTGCCTAATGACCTTGAAAGATAAAAGCTTATTTGCGTAGTTTAAAATAACAGTACTACAATTTGTAAAAAAATAAAAATTGTGACAATTTCAAAAATTTTGACAAAGTAAAATAATTTGACAATTTAAAAATCTTGACAAGTGTACCGCTATAGAAATATGTTTGATAATTGTAAGAAAAATTGTACTACAAATCATAAAAAAATCAAAATTGTAACGCCATTGTACAATAATTTGTTTTTTCAATTGTAAAACCATCCCATCCCATCCATATATATATATATATATATATATATATATATATATATATATATATATATATATATATATATATATATATATATATATATATATATATATATATATATATATATATATATATATATATATATATATATATATAATATATATATGTTCTGGTGAAATGCAATCTTAGAAGAGAAATGAGAATTAATCTGGTGCTTTAGATTGTGAGATCTAATGGTCAGGATTACATCAAAATTAGGTGCACCAAAATGGGTTGAAAATGCATCATGTCGAAATGCACCAAAATCCCTTGTAAAATGCACTATCCCAAAATCCGAGCGCAAGATGAAATCTGAGTCGCACGATGCATTAGATCCAACGGCTAAATTTTATTCTCATTTCTCTTCAGAAGGTGCATTCTCGCAGGAACCGGCTTTGATGTAGTTTGGAATATTATCACCATTGCCTCTCTTTGCCTGAAAAGCGAACAGAAAATAGTCAAAGGTGTGCATGTACAATATTTTAAAACCATAGAGATTTTAGAATTAAGGTTTGAAAATAAAGAGATATTGATACTTATTTTTCAAACCATGGTGGACATTGAATCTACTTGGCCTAGTTCTACATATTTAAAACAACATTGAAAGTTTATAAAATTAGATGTGACATCTAAGTTCCATGTTATTATTCACATAGTCAAACTTCATTCATTTTTTTCCTATTTTCGTTACTAATTCAATAAAATAATATAATTATGCCATTTCTTGTATCATAGAGCTTTTGATGTAGTTTTTTAATATGTAAAATTTATGTTTTAGTTGTACCCCAATTCTCTAATAAATTGTATTGAAAACAACTTTAACCAAACTTCGTAAATCGAAAGAGGCGATTTAAATTGAGACGAAAGGAGTACTTTATTTTAACACACGATGAATTAAATAAACAAGAAAATTATAGCTTAACCTTGTTGATAGTGAAATTGAAGTTTATTTGAGACAATGGGAGTTCATTTTTCTTCAAAAAGTTTGCAACATTAGAGGAATCAAAATGATCCAGTATCAATTAGATTCAACACTATATTCTTATCACCTTTTAAAATTCGACAACAATAATGTTCTAAGATTGTAACTTCAACTCTCAGTTTTGGTTTAGATTTGGGTTTGATAACTTTCATAGAAACCGTAGCACTTCAAAATATATTTCCAATACCACTTGAATCAAACAAAGATATGTTTAAAAAAACCAAATTGTTGTCTTCATGAAAACTATAACATTGATTATTGTGTTTCACTTCAATGATTTATATGGTTTCCAAAATCTCTTGATTTGGCTTTTTGATCATCATGATAGTTCGAACATCGATGTATCGTTTTATAGAGATTTGAATCAAAGCATTTGAAAATTTCATCACTGAAAACCAACAAATGACACAAACCAATACAATCCCAACTCTATTAGAGCCAGAGGAGTTTTGCAAGAATTTTTTTTAAGCAAGGCAATCTAAGCTTGAAGAGGTCTTTCGAGAGAACCGGTTCAAACACTTATTCAAAAACGAGTTGTCCATTTTAACCTGAATTTATATCTACCATTGATTTGGTGTTTCTATCCAGTTTTGCTATGACATATTAACCTGAACTTCTATCCATGTTTGCTATGACATTTAATTAGTTTCTACTCCTATGCAAGCACAGGTTTTGGTATCTTTAAGTAATTGGTTGATGGGTTTTCTTGAACTTGAAAGAAGTATTGAAATGCTGGATAATATTTGAACTTTTCAAAGGGACCAAATTCAAATGCAAATTACTATTCATTGAGTTATACAATGGCTTGATCTTATTGGGAAATATTCGAAACATTTAGAGGGCGCACCTCGCTCGAAGCACGGGTTAAAATGCTCGCACTTTTTATTCCATTGCTACAAAAATACAGAGCGATTGGATTTCCTCATTATGTTGGCTGGGGAAGTTGCCAAGCAGATGGCACAGGGCCAACATCATATATGATCTCTCTGTGGCAAGACCATACCAGCTTTATTGCTTCCGGTGTCCCGATACCAGCTCCCCTCGGATCTCCCGCTGGACCAAACCTACAATTGCGTCAATCACATTTAGCCTCTGTTAGTTAGGGTTGTATGAAAAGAGTTGGATGTTGGAAGAAACTGGAAAAAGTTGAAAGAAACTGAAACGAGTTGGATAAACCTAGGAATTGGAAAAAATTGGAACGAGTTGGTAAATGTTGGAAAAAATAAAGTGTTAAAAAATCACTCAATCAAATAATCATCCAAATAAAAATATAAGAAACCTAATTTAAGATATAAAAAATTCGTCTTTGTCCGCATTTGAGGTGGTATGTTATAAACTTTAGATATATGATGTTATTGCATATTCGTAAATGCTTTTTTAGTTGTTGTTGGAAGAAACTAGAAAGAGTTGAAAGAAAATGGAAGGGATTGGAAGAAATTGGAAGGAATTGGAAGAAACTGGAAAAAGTTGGAAGTTAACTTTTCCAACCCAAATAAACAGCCCCTTATTAGCAAATACTACGTGTGTGTGTGTACACACTTGGAAGCAACCAATCAACCATACAGCCTACAGATCTCTCATTGTATTTATTTAATTACTTCCCACTAACCAGTGGTTTTGTGGCGCGCCAGTTGTTCTTGCTCTTATTCCAGCATATGTTGTCCCATTGACAGAATTTCCGATCACTTCCTGCAGATTAATGTTACAGCTTGTACAATTACATTCTTTTTTAAAGCAGCTAGCAGATGATTGATGAAGATATAGTAATTTCACCCACAGTTCCACCTACTGTCCAGTCAATGGCCAATTGCATTAGGCTTTTTCATTCTTGTTACGAGTAGTATTCTTGTTTTAATTATATTTATTTCATCTACATTCTCTATGCAGTAAACAGATTCTAACCATAAAATTTTCACTTTTCAACATTTTTCTTAAACTCTGTGAAAGTCAAACAAGGAAGTTTTTCGGGAGACGGATGGAGTATCATTCTTGGTCTTACTTGCAGGAACAGCTGATCATTTGAAACTACAGCAGCTGTTAAATTTGCATGCATCCTTTCAAGGGCATTCAAGACATTAGGCAGTTGATCATCCTTGTATTCAGTGACAATCTGCCAACAAAAAATCATGTGTACAAGAAGACATCACATATTGCAACTTCATATATATAAACCAGCATTATGCAAAAGTGCAGTGCAATGAAAAAAATTACCTGGAATGGGCCAAATATTTCAGTTGTCACAAGATTGTAGTTTTCATCCTTTAAGATTTCTTCGAGAGGCACAAAAACAGCAGTTGGTTTAATGGCACCATAAATTGAAGGGATGGAATGATTTTCCAAGGGTTCGCCACCGAAGAGAAGCTTAGATCCTGGTATCTGCAGCAACTTGTTCACATGGCCCAGCATTGCTTCTGTAGTAAACTACAAATGGTTTAAAGAAACAAGTCATAACTTTGCTGTTCGGTAAATGAAAGCTGAAATAATTACAACTGTCGGTGAGGGAAGGGAATACTTCTTTTTCAAGTTAATACATGTCACATAGCAACAAAAAAACTATCGTGAAAGCTATCCGTAGCGAACAAGTTGGGGCATGGACTGCTAATTTACACACGAAAAATTAGTGTGTGTGTGTGTGTGTGTGTCATATAATATGTTATATTCATAAACTTCAAAGTCACAACATTAAAAATAATACTCCATACTAATAATAATTATGATTATAATAATACTAACAAGAATAATACTAAGAATAATAAAAAAACAATGGAAACAAACGGAGGGAGGGCAGAGGTTTGGTTGGTCCTAGGGCTGGCCAGCTCTTAAATTAGCCATGGGCTTGACGGGCTGAGATTTAGATTTTGGCTTGGGCGATGAGATCTTGAGTTGTGGGTTAGCGCTGAATGGCTGGCCAGCAAGACGTGGGTGTTTGCGCTAACAGAAGGCCAAGGTTGGTGGGGAGGGCAGAGGAGGTTGGCGATCAGGTCAGGTATCGTAAGGAGAGAGGGGGTGCAAGGGCTCGTGTGGGGGGGGGGATGCCTAGATCATCTGCCTGACAGGATCCTCTACCGACCGTTCACCGCCTAGAGAGATATCGAAGAGAGAAATATCAGAGAAAAAATTGGTGAGAGGCGCATACCGTGAGAACGGGACCAACTGTCAAGTCATCTAACTTTCTTCTAGCAGCAAGCTCACTCATTAATTTGATGAGAGGGCTTTGACTCCAATTCTGCACACAAAGTATTAGATTTTACCTTCTCTCAAAAATTACAAAGAAACATTTTATCTAATAAACGCTATTAATTTAATTTAGATGAAGAATCCAAAAAGGAAAAGGGAAATGAATGATTAAACTAATGTAAAAGGAAACCCAAAAAAAGCAACCAACAAACCTCATGCATAAAAAGCATCGATTGAGCTGAGCACTTCTGACCACTACATGCATAGGCATCTTGATCGCAAACCCATGCAACATAATCCACCTGCCGAACAAACATATGAGCAATGTGTTGAATAATATGACTCTCACTCAACTTACAACGTTTTTGCTTCTGAAGAGCAGTTCAATGTTTATTCAGAGAAATAAGTTGTCAAAACATTGAGCTGCAATATTTCTATACATACATATATATTTTTGGGTTATCTCAACATACGCATCATACTTGAAATTTTACATTTTGTAAAAAAAATTCATGTGTTTGCAGAGTAAACCTCATCAACATCAGGGCCAAGGATCTTCCAGTCAAACCCAGCATCTTCAAGCTTTATGCGACCTTTAAGGTCCCCAGCTAATTTCTCTGCTACTCTTGAGCTGCCAGTAAATAGAGTCATGCGCGGTTTTCCCTAATAATAACAGTTTGAGGATCATTGCATTAGATAAAAAGTAATGAAAACAAAATTAAAAAAATTTGCCTGGACAGCTGCATGAATTCTAAAACAGCATGCAGATCTTTGAAGTAGAGGTTCTAGAAGTTCGTGACAACCGAGGTTATCTTTGATAATTTTAGTCAAGGTACTCAACATAGGCCTTTGCCTCCCTAATGTTCAAACCCATTTCCAATGGATTAAATATCCGATTATGTTCATCCACTTCATCGACTATACATTACCCCCCCCATCCCACTACGTTTGGAATGCAGGGTGTTGGTCCGCAAAGTTATAAGATGGAATTGCGTGTTAGGTAAAAAGGGACATGTACAAAGATAGAGGCAACAACAACAACAACAACCCAGTTAAATCCCACTGTACAAAGATAGAGGGAGTAACATAAATGGTGAAAAGGGACAACAATAGAGGGACAGAAGGAGTATTATTCAAATTGGTTATCAACTGAATTTTTGACTCAATTGATCAAGAACTATGACATTTAAACCCAAATACTAGATAAGAAGGATATTTTTGTGTTGACAAATTGGAGACCCAAATGTGACCCTCAAGGGTTCAACTATGAACTTTGGATCCATTTATTAATTCAATGGGACGCTCAACTATGACAACTAAATTGGGTCTAAATTGATTTTTTGAGGATCACATTAGTCCAAAAAATGTTGAGGTCCAGATTGAGTACGAGTGTATAATCAATGGACATATCAACTCTGTCCAATACTCAAATGCAAAGATTCGTGAATCATCGCTACACATGAATGTCAGAAAGAATTAGACTAAAGGATTCTCCTCAGGTCCAATGTGAATACGAGGCTGCTTAACAATTGCCAATGTAAATACAAAGATATTTTACAATTTCCATTTGCCAAGAGTTAAAAGTACCGATACGGTGCATGATCATAATCTAGTTAATAAACGTCTTTAAAAGGTTTAACAATTGTGAAGATGAATTTAAAAAAAACCTTGGTTGTTCACCATTTGATCATTTGTAGATTTCCTTCATTTGTTCCCTCAAGGCTCAATCCATTGTTCTTGAACATACCACCAAGTGCAGAAACATTAAATCAAGTTCCTATGGGTTATTTGGCATTGTAAGAGGAAACCCACTCTTTTTTTAATATGGACCATAGCTTGAGAAAGTTGAAGAACATGAACAAGTTACAAGCACGATGTGGTAAGGAGGTGACAAAAACCATAAGACCATGCGGAGCAGTTCAAGCCCCTTTGGGGTATTGTTCGCCATGTGGACGTCATATCAGAATAACCAAAAAAAATGTGTAATGCTTCATGCGCATTTCAAGCTCTTCAATCATTACCCAATATTAAATATTTTATTTATTTATTGAAGAGACCGCACGGGGTGTAGTTTTTGTTTATTTAGGCAAGATCACATAGGAATCCAAGCGCTCGCACAATATCTAACACAAAGGTCAAAGTTAGGCGCTCACACAATAGCTAACACTGGGTTGAAGGTTATTCACTCATTACTCCATTAATAATTTTCTTAATCAATAAATATAAATCTCTCCATGATTAGTTGAATTATTTTAGGCAAGATGTAAATGTTCACAAAAGAAGTACTTCCTCTCTCACAAATTAAAAGTCCAATTTGGTGGACACAGAGTTTAAGAAAAAGTGTTGAAAAGTAAAAAGTGTGGGCTTGGAATTGATTTAAAGTAAAAAGATAATGATGGCCACATATTCCTTACCAAAAAAAGTAATGGGGCTTTGTTTTGGATTGGACCAAAAAGAAACGTGTGTTGTTTGCTTTGGGATGGAAGGAGTATTTTATTTGTTATTCTTAAGGTATGAGCAGAGTATGGTTGCAATGAACTCACAAGCCAGTGATGTTCACAACATGTCATAGTGAATTTGGAAAGACACTAGATAGAAAATTGTTCAAAATCACAGATATGAATTTGGACAGATCTTGTTACTGTTGTTAAGAGAACTCTTCTGATATTTCCTAATAAAAGAAGCTTTTAAGAAACTAACCTCCAAAAGCAGTGTGTTCATAGTCTTTCCATCAGAATTTAAGAAATCAACATCCTTCAACGGCAGCCCGCAATCATGAAGCAGACGGAGCATTTGTTCCATTACAATGCACACCTGATGAAAAATGGTAGATATGGGTACAAATATACCCAGTAATATTTCTTCGTTGGTAGATACTGCATTGTCAATTAAAAGAAGCTTAGAGTTTGAGAAAGTGAGAAATTTTATACCTTGCTGTCAACTTTCAGTACAGGCTTATTTCCCATGTATAATGCACCCATCAACTGTAGTACAGGAATTTCCAGTGGAAAATTAAATGGAGTAACGATAGCCACCTATATATATAAAAAAAATGAACACTTCATTAGATATATAGAATATCCCAAACAAAGGTATGGGCAGAATGCTATTAGGTGTGGTATCTTATACGCTTTAAATGATAGAATGGAATAACATTGTATGTTGAGAAAGATACGAGCCAAAGTGAGTTAAGAGGTACGGCAAGTAAAGTAATTGGAAAAATAATCATGTGTAAAAGATAATTCAAAGGAAAAATATTAAAATGCTATGCACCCATTTTTGAAATGGGTCCACCATCGATGCCATAAAGAGCAAGTAATAGTGCAGCCCTTTTGGGTACATGCAATGACCAAGGGTTTGCCAACTCAGTTTCAGGTTAAAGCGTTTATGGCCGGGTAAGATAATTTTTTGGTTGGGAGTATTAACAAGTATAGCAAAGCAGCCTAGAAGTTGCTATGAGATTGTGCTGTAAAGGGGGCGAAGACATACGCCAATATTTGTGCTGGAAGCGTGAAATAAAAGTTATGACGGCAGCACTAAAGTTGTACGGGAATTCCTTTGACATGTTGGCCAGCAGCACATGTAGCTTAATTTACAGCGCGTGAAATTCCATTAACCACTGCCAATTCCACACACAATTAGGCAGATATCTCCATGGATTTTGTAGAGGGATTTCCATATGTTTGGGATATACTCCATTCGTCCAAGTGTTTTTGTCCTTTTTGCTCAAACTGGATGAACTTTGATCATCATTCGAATAAAAATTATATTGCATATTAACACAATACAATAATTTTTTGAAAGTTTTGACAACATAAATCTAATGATATCATTTTTATTAAAAAGCGATTGGGTTTTTATTTAAATGATGATCAAACGTTGTCCAGATTGATTGGAATTTGGAAAAAGTCAATATGGATGAATACACTAGGACAGAGGTAGTATTTGTAATCTACATTTGGGCAGATATCTCCCAGGTTATGCACTTCATTGCCTTATTGCATCCTATCACGGTGGTGTCAGACAAAATCTATTGTTCGGACAAGATAGTCTCTGTTGATGCCTTTTGGCAGGCCATATGTGTTATTCCGACTAAGTGGGTGAAGCTTGCCTTTTCCTTTGCCTCTTACCCAAAAAGGGTGTGATTTGGCCCAAATGTCTTATAGTTCAATTGAGATACTCCTATCCAATGATAAATTCCATCACCGTATCTGAACAAGTTTTGGCCAAATTCATCTGTCTAGACTATATGCAAGCCTATCTTCAAGGATCGTGAATCATTAGCTCAATTATCCCTCTAGAAGTCCAATCTGCCCAACACCACGCAGTCCATTAAGTGTTTCTTATGCATTTTGAACTTTTGTTCCCGGGGCAGAGAGAGTGTTTGCAAGTGGTTAAACACTTTGGTTCAAGATGGTAAGATTTTGCAGTTGATGGGAAGTTGATGCATTTCAAACTGGGGTCTTATCGAGTAGATAATAAAATGCCGGATTTGCGGAGGAAATGAAGGGAAAATAATATGGGGCGAAATAAGGGAGTGTTTTAAGAGTTAAGACTAAGAGTTCTTTTTTTGTTATTATATCAAGGAAAAGAATAGATTTAGGAGTAGAAATTGTGAGGGGCGAAATGCTAGAATAAAAATAGGAAGAGATGAACCAAGTTAGTGTTAAGAGATATGACACACTCTTATTTTAACTTGGGGTTAAGAGCGTGTTCTCTTCAACTTATTCTTATTACTTATTACTTATTCTTATTGGAATCAGTTCACATCAGACTAGATCAAAAATAACTTTAAATATAAATACATTCATATCAAAGATCATACCAGATAGATCAGATCAGAACTTATTCCTGTGATTGATAATCATAGGTTTTCCTCATTATATACAAATGACTATACATAAGAAGGGTGCTAATATTTAGGAAACTAAAATTCCCATATTAATGCCTAAATCACCCATATTGATTGTCAAATCAAAGCCATAATCTCAAGACTTAACTAAAATACTAATATTATTACTAATAACACTCCCCCTGAAGTTGGAGCATATATAATTATCATGCCCAACTTGTTACATAAATACATAACCCTGGTGCCATTTAGCGCTTTAGTAAGGAGATCTGCTAATTGATCTCCTGTTTTCACAAATCCAATAGAAATCAATCTCTTGTGTATTTTCTCACGAACAAAGTTACAATCTACTTCGATGTGTTTTGTCCTTTTGTGAAAAACTGATTTGGATGCAATATGAAGAGCAGCTTGGTTATCACACCATAGTTTCGCAGGGATGGGAGCTTTGAAACCAGTTTCAATCAGGAGGTGATATATCCATATTATTTCACACGCAACTTGTGCCATGGCTCTATATTCAGACTCGGCACTAGAACGAGAGACAACATTCTGCTTCTTGCTCTTCCACGAAATCTGATTCCCACCCACAAACACACAATAACCAAAGGTGGACCTACGATCATCTTTCAACCCTGCATAATTTGCATCTGCATAACTTTCAATGTTCATGTGACCGTGATTTGAATAGACAACACCACGACCGGGAGTTCCTTTCAAGTAACAGAGAATATGTTCCCCCATTCTCCCCCTGAGCAACAAACCCTAGAGGTTGCTCCATATAAACCTCTTCCTCAAGAGCACCATGAAGAAACGCATTTTTGATATCTAATTGATGCAATGACCAATCATGACACGCAGCCATAGAGATAACAAAGCGGATAGAAGTGAGCTTGGCAATTGGAGAGAAAGTCTCATCATGATCCACACCATAGGTTTGAGCATATCCTTTGGCCACTATCCGAGTTTTGAGACGAGAGACGAGCCACACACCCATCCGGATTAACCTTAATAGAGAAGACCCACTTGCAACCAATATATTAATTGTCGATCGGCAATGAAACCAGACTCCAAGTATGATTGTGCTCATAGGCTTTCATCTCTTCTATCATGGCAGTACGCCGTCCAAGATGAGATAGTACTTCTCTGACAGTTTTAGGAAAAGGGACATAATCTAGAGAAGAGGTGAGTGCACAAGTAATAGAAGACAAATGATCATAAGAGACACAATTGGAAATAGGGTAGGTACAAGACCGCTTACCTTTGCGCAAAGCGATGGGTAGATCATCAACATGATCAGGATCCAACGACGAAGTTCTCGGCTCAGGGCGTGAGATTGGTGTAGGGGTAGGTAGTTGATCAGTCAATGTGGCAGGAAGAGATTCAGGGACAACTGAATGTGCAACTAGTGTTTTCCTACGGGAGTAAACCTGAATGGTGGGAGGCGCACCAAAGAGGGCATAGTAGTACTAGAGGTAGTGTAGAATAAAATGTCACCAGAACCCTCCCCCTCATTTACAGAATCTGAAAGGGAAGAAAAATGAACATGCTCATGGAAATTCACATCGATGGAGACAAGATATCGGCCAAGACTAAAACAATAACAACAATATCCCTTTTGGACCCGGGAGTACCCAAAAAGATGCACTTCAAGGATTTTGGATTTAGCTTAGTGACACATGGACAAACATCCCTTACAAAACATGTACACCCAAAGATCTTTGGTGGGACTGGAAAAAGGGGTTTATTAGGGAAGAGACTATGAAATGGTGGTTGGCCACCAAGGACACTCGATGGAAGGCGATTAATCAAGTAACATGCCGTGGCAATGGCATCAACCCAAAACATCTTGGACACTTTTGAAATTGAGGATAGATTTTCTTTGACAGGGACAAGGATGGATGACCAAGACGATAATGAATCTCGAGAGGTGACTCAATCCCAACACAAGCAGCTGCTTTAGGAACGGAAGTGTTGAGAAGATATAGGCCATTAGTCTCACGTCTTTCACCAATAATCTTCTTTGTCGTAAGATCTTGAAAGATACAATGATCAGAAAAGAATGTGACAAAGCAATTACGATCACGAGTAAGTCTACTAAAAGATAGCAGATTAAACGAGAAATGGGGTAAACTCAAAACAGAGGACAGATGCATATTTGGAGTTGGATGACCAAGCCTGACCCGAGGACCTTAGATGTGGAACCGTGAGCAAGGGTAACAAAAGGGAATGAGATGTGTAGGGCTGAAAAGTGGAGAAGACGCTAGGATTACCTGACATATGATTTGTGGCTCCGGAATCAATAATCTACTTGGAGGAAGACGAGACAAGACAAGCACTATCGTTACCTGAATCTGTAATTGCCGTCGTAGGAGGAGATGATCGCTGCAGGAACTCCTTGAATTGGGCATACTCATCTGTTGAAGTAGGGGGATTAGAGTTTTCACTAGAGGCAAAGTGTGCAGCTTATCCCCTTCGATTAACACGTTGCAGTTTCCTAAAATCACACTTCTAATGTCCCTCTTTGTGACAATAATGACATATTATGGGCTCTTGATTCTGTGGGGTGCCACTGCGAACAAATGACGTATATGGTTGTTTTGCTGACTCAATTTGCATCCTCTGACTTATAAGAACATTTTGGGGTACACCATCTGAAGGCTCGATGGGTTTCACACTCTCACTACGTTGAATCCATGAGTATCCATCCTATAGAGTGGGAACCTCCGAGTATACAAGGACCCTTTCTCAGGCAGCCTCAAATCTCGGGGCAAAGCCTGCCAAGAAACTCATTGTTGCCATCTAGAGTGAAGGGAATTAATGAATTTAAGGCCTAATATGTCTTCTTGAAGTCCATGAAGTATGCTTTTAGAGATTGACCCTGCTGGTCTGCCCTATAGAATGCCTTACATACGTCATAGATACGAGTAAGATTTCCCTTACCCGAATACCGAAATTCCAAATATTTCATCAAGTCTTTAACTCTTTCACAATGGCTAACTAACCCAAGCACATCCCCATCAATTGAGTTGCGGATTTGGAGAAATAGTCGAGCATCATCCCTCAACCAAACTTTCTTAGTAGTTGCTTCCTTAGGATGATCACCATTAATATGACCATCCTTATCATTACTTCGGAGATATAGTTTAATAGTCGTGACCCGTTCAAGATAATTAGAAGAATCAAGTTTCTATGATAGAATTTAGGATGTGGTAAGGATAATTGGATTGGGTAATAAGACACTTGGGCTGAACCACATTAAAAGATTGAATCGAATCGATTACTTGGTTCAACTCAAGAGCTTATATACCGATTACTTTTCTATTCAACTTCCGATGTGAGATAGACTCTAACAATTCCAATTAGATCAAAATAAATCAGATTAGGTGAAGAGAACAAGCCCTAAGTCTAAAATGTAGTTAAGACATGACACACCTAGTTAAATACCTAGAACCTAAAACTTGCACTTGAGAGGACCACTCTTAAGATATACAACAACAACAACAACAACCCAGGTGAATCCCACAACAGTAGGGTCTGGGGAGGGTGTGTGTACGCAGACCTTGCCCCTACTCGGAAGTAGGGAGGCTGTTTCCAAGAGACCCTCGGCTCCACCTACACAAAAATATCCACTCTTAAGATATAGAAATAGGAATTTGGCTAAAATAGAATCACACAAGATTTTTTCATTAAAATTCATGCTTATTACAAGGCCAAATGGACGAGGTTTTTATAGTAGTACAAAGGGGAAAAAACATTCCCAACAAGGCTAATGATTATTGAAAAGAAAAACAAACTAAGCATGGCTGATTTCTCATGTCTTTCCATGCCATTCACTAGCTACACACATGGGAGATATTAACTTATCATTAGATGAAGAAAATCAGGAGAAACCAAAGTGAAATGGGCTGCTCTTTGTTTGCCACATGCTAGACAAAAGGAGGAACAAACCTCCTTAAATCAAGGGGAGATGTTTTCAGCATATTATCCAAAAACATGCAAATATAGAATGAAACCATAAATATGCACATGTAGACATATCTTGGTAGAGGACTAATATCACATAACACAACAAAGAAAACAATAATAAGCGAATGTGTGGTTTGCTGTGAGCAAATCCTAGATAGACTCCAATCACTTCACGAAGAGAAGTGTTTGTGAAGATGACTCAAAATGATGGAACATGGTTGAGAGAACACAAGGCATTGTGATTGGATTTATACCATGGTTGTTAAGTCATCACCTAGTCGGCGACTAGTCACCGACTAGTCGTCTGGTCGTTTTCTAGGTGGCGACTTGAGTGTCGCCTAGCGACTGAAAGGGGACTAGTCGTCCAGTCGTCCAGTCGCTTACCCTTCCCGGCATCTCTCTCTCATTGCCAAAGCCCATCATCATGGTGGCATAACGTTGGACGATGATACTTGATAACTCAAAACATGGAATTAAATATTTTAATATGTTCTTTTTGTGCTTGTTATCTTTGTTGGTGTGTTGTTCTTGAAGATTGAAGGGTATTTGTTTCTTATGTACCCTTTTGTTATGTGAGTTTATGTGCTACCTTTAAACATAATCTTGTTTTGGTAATGATATTTCATCATATAAAACATATATAGTTATCTTTGGTGAATTAAGATATATACATACATACATATATATATATATATGGGATTGACTCCAGTGAGATGACACTTTATGGTGAGATGACATGCTTCGGTCAGATGACGCAAAGCTCACCACACTACACTACAAAGCTCACCTGGAAATAAAGCAAAGTTCACCACTTTGAACACTAAAACTCACCTTTTTTTAAATTTTGAAAATTAAAAAATTAATTAAAAATAAAATAGCTACACCGGTCAACGGCAGCGGCAGACGGCGGAGCAGCGGCGACGGCGCCCGGAGGTGGTCGCCGGAGTCCGGCGATGGCTGCCGGAGACCAGCGACGGCGGCCGGCGGACGGCGATGGCGGACGGCAACCGGAGGCGGCAGCGGCAGGCGGCGGTCAATGCTGGCGGTCAACAGTCAAAGTCCAGTCAGCATCCCTTCCTTTGATTTTATTTTTTGGAAAAAAATTCAAAGTGTTGAAAAAATATGGTGAGCTTTGCCTTACACTTTGGTGAGCTTTGTAGTTGTCTTTGGTGAGCTTTGCAGTGGCCAGTGGTGAGCTTTGTGTCATCTGACCGAAGCATGTCATCTCACCGTAAGGTGTCATCTCACTGGAGTCAATCCCTATATATATATATATATATATATATATATATAATGTTAAAAATTTGAATACTAATTGTAATTTGTCGACTAGTCTACTACTAGTCCACTAGCCTCCCCTTCACCGACTCGACTCGATTTATCGCCCTGATAACCATGATTTATACCTTAAATAAATATTTTTCATTAATACATTATTCATATCTGATCAGAAAAATAACCTACATGGTCTTTAGTGATTTTGGATACTTCAGATATGTAATGAATATTCAATCAATATGTCAAAGTAAAATAACATTGGGAGTTCAAATTAAATAAGAAGACATGAAGAGGCAAAAGATGATCACCATGACTCTCTATTGCACATTCTATTGCTCTGAAATCTTAATTGAGAATATTTATATTTAAAACCTTACAGGACCATAAGGCCAGCGAAAACCATGGCTGATCTGTCCAAGATGATTCCCAGGTACTCCAAAAGACCTCGCCAGAAAACGGACCTGCCAGATTTCAAGAAGCCAAATGAGTTAGCTTTTAGATTATCATGATATCAAGTATCCCACGGAAACTTGAGACAATGACTAACCAACGTCTAATCAACTGCCCGACCGCTAATTTTGAAGGAGGACACACCTTAACAATTATGGTAGATATGGTATTTATGTGTGGATATGTGGATAAGAGCTATTATGTATGAGCCTATGAGGATAAATGAAAAATATGAGCGATGTGGTTAGAGTGAGTGACAAATAATTATGAGCTATCAGCTATGGTGTCAGATCAATAGGATGGAGCCAAAAATTCACTACTTTGTGGTTTTGGGTATGATTGAATAAAGCAAAATGGCTTTTTTGACTATGTGTGCTTCTATTGTAGTGAAGTGACAGTTAGTCAATGCAACTTTTGACACTCATCATGAGTCATCTAGAAACAATTGTTCTTTGTTTTAAACATAAGGGCCAGCCTGCGTACATCCGACCTCCCCTTACCCTGTAATGGGCGGGAACCTTTGAGGCACTGGGTTATGTTCTTGGTGGTGGTGGTGTTAGATCAATAGGAGTTATAACATCAAGGGAAGGTGTAGAGATGCTGGCAGGCAAATTCAAGTGCTCAAACGGAGAGGATTTATCTAGTAGTGTGGATAGTAAAAACAAAAGATTTGATAAATAGTATGCCAGCATACATAAATCGTCACTTAAGATCTAGAGAATAATAGTGATACTCCTTTTGAAGGCCAGAATAAACAAGACACGTGGTTTTGCAAAATAACGTAGATAGGCAAGGACTCGTGTCATGGACAAACAAATGTGTCCAAAAACAAAAGGAGGTGAAAGAAAGGGCTCAATACTAAGAAAAAATGCAGGGCAAGGAACTGCATTGTTAATGACATAAAATGGAATATGATTAATGACATGATAAGCAGTAAGCATATGATTGACCAAAAATTAGATGGGCCATGAGAATGTATTATACATTATATGTCATTTCTATAGTTCATTTGTTGTTATTACCTTAGACAAACACATCACAAGCACCAATTATAGACCATGATCAACTTCCATTGAAGGTCATGGTGTATATATGATCATCTCACCAAAATAGCGGATTATATCACAAAAAAGAAAATGAGTGGTCATTTGCTGACTATTTACTTCGTAATTCTTTTTTGCAATCAATAAATTCTAAAGTGTAAAGTTTGGGAAAATATCAAGGCTCCATACCATGTAAAATTACTAGTGTCTTTTAAGAACGATTAATGAATGTATACAAACCCACATGTATGGCTATATTTAGAAAGATGACATCATGGTGAACTAAGTCATGTTGTCAATTGCCATAGTCAGTTAAGACATGATTTCATGGTGAGCTAAGTCATGATGGACTAAGCAATGATGTTAAGGTGATGTCATGGGCATATTTCTATAGCTTAAATAATTCACATGAAAGAAGGGTGGAATCTTTCTAGAATCTTAAAAATCCAATTATTCAGAAAACACACACAGAAATAATCTAGGATCTAGAAATAGTAAGTTGACTTAAATAAGCTTAGTACCCTAATATGTAGTTTGGGACTCATTGATCTGCTAGAAGGATTCTGTTTCTCTATCCAGCTTTGTTAATCAAGAGGACGCAAGCCCTTTGGGTTTTTAGTGCATACTTATAGAAAGAAAATCACATTAACTTTTGATTAAAGCTCTAGTTCATATGCTCTATGACTATTATTTGGAATGGGAAATCCATAAACCTTGATTGAGTATCGAAGTATTTTCCTCTTCGTTCCCAACATTGTTCATATGAATAAATATTTGACTTGGAACATTAGTACCTGATCACCAGAGAAATTTTCTAAAAACTTTTGGGTGACAATAACTTCACCAAGAGCTTGCTGGTAACTCTTAGGAGCCACCCTTTGTATTAACCTTGTGAAGAAGTGAGAAACCTGGAAATCATAGATTGTCCACCAAAATAATCACTTAACAAAACAAGCAATGGCCCATCAACATCCTTATCGATACGGAGCATAAAGTATCCTTTCTTGCACTTTATTACCTCAGGCAACGATAGCATACGAGCTGCCTTTGCAGATACATCTCCAAGCATTAGATACCTGCAAATAATTTTATAAAATGATGTATGAATTGGCATATTTCGGACTACTGAATTTTATTGAATTACGTAGAGGTAAATTAAGTAAAATCAGAGTATACGTTGGTAGGTAAGGATTACTATTTGGTAGGTAATGATTAATTTCTGTTGTATTCATTCTCATGTATGAATGCAAGCAAGTGGGGAGCTTAGTTTATCAATAACATTCTCGATATTCTCAATTTCTACAGACTAATGGAGAGATGTTCCCCTCGAATGACTATTGGAACTCATACTGTGATGAGCTTTTTAATGATAAAAACACTCAAGCCTTGGGAGATCTTTCCATACGGGAAGAGGAGGTGAATCAAGATATATGTGTCAAACCCAGAGAAATGAAGTTAAAGAGGCCCTCAAAAAGATGAAATCATAGGAGTAGGACCCGACAATATACCAATTGAGGCTTGGCGGTGTTTTGGGGATATAGGCCTGGGTTCGTGGCCAATGCTATTCAACGGGATATTTAGGGTATATAAGATGTCAACACAATAGAGAAAATGTACTCTGATTCTTCTGCTCGGTGTTGTAGAGGTTGTTTTGTGGTGTGTTGTATTTGTTAGGAATCTTCTGCTATTGCTTGTACGTGTTGCTTGTACTTGGTACTTTATCTGTGTTATACTATGTTCCCTTCCATATTTTTGTGCAGGTGGAGCCGAGGGTCTCTTGGAAACAGCCTCCCTACTTCCGAGTAGGGGCAAGGTCTGCGTACACACACCCTCCCCAGACCCTACTGTTGTGGGATTCACCTGGGTTGTTGTTGTTGTTGTTGTTGTACTCTGATTCTTCTATAGAAGAATAATGATGAGCTTTATGACTGCTCAAACTATTGCTGAAGTAAGCTCATGAGTCATATTATGAAACTACGGGAGAGGATAACCAGTACAACTGTACAAGTGAGCTGAGAGATAAATTTCCATGTAATTAGCTCGATATATTATTGATCTAAGACATGCACCTAGTGGATTCAGCCCAAGACCTTAAGGTAACCCATGAGCCAGTTGGCGGGTTAACCGGCATGGGCCGTGAGGTATACACTCATGGGCTGGAGTCGGTTCACTGGGTTTAATTACTCGGGGATAGGTTTACCTAGTTTCCTAAAAGAAGTCTAATAGGATTAGGAAGCTTGGGAAGCTATAAATACTCCCCCAAGGCATACAAATAAGAGAGAGTACTTCTACTATTCTTGAGTCTTATTATTTTACCCCTATTGTTATTCTGTAATTCTTGAGAGATCATGAGAAATATATTTGGTGGAATTAAAGTTCCATCTACAAGTAAAACATATGTTATATGAAATGTGAGTTTAGTAATGATAGAATAAGAAATGGCATCGTCTAAAAGAAAGTAGAAGTGGCATCTATTGAAGATAAATTGAGAGAGAATCGACTAGAATGGTTAGGACATGTATAAAGAAGACTTAATGATCTACTGGTTGAAAGATTTGAAGGGTGGAGAAGTAAATTTTGGAAGAAAGAAATGGAGACCCAAAAAGACATGGATGGAGTCATGGAGGTGATTAGGAGCAATTTGGCGTACCTGAAGTAAGAGAAGAGCATGGTTATGGATAGAGGGAAATGGCAAGGAAGCATCTTGGTGAATAATCGAATGTCATTCTCTCTTCGGTTCATGCAGCCGACCTCAAGTTTACTTGGGATTAGGCTAAATTGTAGCATGACCCATGTGTTTTAAGGCCTAGTTGCTTACCAACTCAAACCTAAACTCTACCGACTAATGCACAATTAGACTACATTAGAAAACCAAGTTTTTCTTGTGATTTGTTTACTCTTAACCGACATTGATGATTCACAAACACAAAAAGAAGAATGAAGACTAATTTTTTCAAACCTTTCTGGTGCTTTGAAAGGATTGTGTAGTCCATGCTTGGGGCACCTCAACATGCTCTCCACAAAAGGCTGCACATTGCAAAAATCAAGACAAAGAGCCAGTGATGATCTAAAAAGATTGACATTTAAATGTTCAGACAAACAAGGCAAACTAATTCCTTCATACAACAACAACCCAGTTGGATCCCACGAGAATAGGGTTTGGGAAGGGTGTGTGTACGAGACCTTGCCCCTACTCGAAAGTAGAGAGGTTTTTTCCAAGAGAACCCCGACTCAAGCAGCAAAAATAATATAAGATCACAAGAGATACATAAAGCAGCGAAAGCACAAAGCACACAGAGTCAAAAAGCAAACAAAAGTTAACTAAGGAAAAGCACTGCAAGCAGAGAACACCAAGCATACAAAGCACAGAAGGGCAGAAAACTACCACCTAGCCCAAAGCACCTACTGAACTACCCTAATTCATTCAAACATTGGTGCAATTGTGCAGTGTTTAAAATACTACTACTACTACAACCTACCCAGTAAAATCCCACAAGTGGAGAGTATGGGGTCGGTGTACATTACTCTGTAATTAATTTTGACTGGGATGCAGATTGAACACTATATAATTCAATTTTTACCTGTAGCTCTGCTTCTTGTACTTCTGCAACTTTTATAAATGACTCCCCATTTAGGGGATCCAATATTGTGTTACAGCTGGAAGAGCTTATCCAATTTCCCTGCACTAAAAAATGAATACAATCACTTATGTGGCTGCATTGTCAAAAAAAACTGTGTGCAAACTAGAAGATAGTGAAAGGAAGGGAAATGCATAATGGTCCCTTAACTGTTGCATGGTTGTCAAATGGGACTTCAATTTTTTGCACTTGCATTAAAAATCCGCCAACTCTACTAGCCCACAATTTTAGTCATTCATACAATATCACTATCAAAATCTCACTATTGATTGACGGGCCAAATCGGCACCGGTTTAAAAAACTAAGGGTCCGTTTGGTACACGAAATTGACAGAATAGGGAGTTGAAATTCTATGGAATTGATTTGGATGGAATTGAATTCTCCAATTCCAATTCATTTTTAGCACTACCAAATCTACATATTTTTGTGCAACCAAACAGCAGAATTGAAATTGTTATCTGCAATTCCAATTCCATAGTTTGAATTCTGTGTACCAAACGGAGCCTAAGGGACTATAAGGTAACAAAAAATGTAGAAACTGAATTAGCAAAAGTGAGAAAAATCAAAGGGACAAAATTGCGATTTTAGCCAAGATAATAAGATACTACAACAAGCTTGGAGTGAAGCTACTAGCTACAAAGTGATTATCAGTGAAGTTTTAATTGCCGATATTTGTATTACATACCCAAGTTGCACACTTCAGCAGGATGAGATCCCGAGATTTCTTCAACCTTTAAAGTTGAAAATTGCATTGAATTGCTAGTTCTGCTTGCCACTTCTTCAGCGGCATAGGAACGGGAATGGTTGGACCTGCATGCGTTAAACAAATGAAAGACAATCAACAACGAGGAACTCTCTGCCAACAAAATACAATGTACAAATTGAAATCAGAACAAAGAACATCACTACGTTGTGTACATATGTCCTACAACATACTTTCAGGAAAAGCAATAGAACATGAATAATTGAATACCGTACATCATTTTATCATGTCCACTGCACGGCACATGCCCCTTTATTCTTAGTCCAGTTCATTCAACTTGAATTCAACATATCACCTTGATTAAACCTACCCTAGACAGTTGTACTGGTCACCGCATGGCACCTATGGCTTTTTATGGCGTTGATTAGAAGACACTATGGGGTCAACTGCTAGACAAACCCTCTCAATTGTTCATTAGTAAAAGCCAAAAGGATCTTACTTTTCAACTAAATGTTTTCAGGGGAGCACTTATTTGGACCTATGACTTCAAACCAATTCATATTTTCTTGTACCCAAGTGACTAAATACCTTGAAATGATATTCCATGGGTTGTCTTAATTTACAAAGAGTAAAATAAAATAAAAAATCATCTCATCCATTACATAATTCTTGAATCCAAACAACCAAACACAAAAAATTCCCAGTTCTTAAAAACCAAGAGAAATAAATACCTGGCAGATGTTAGTGAACCCAGATAAGTGAATGCAGTCTGAGTTGCTCTGCACCTCTGCTGTGTGAGAGCTTGTAACCGATACATACTGATTAAAGATGACTGAACAAAAAGGGTTTTTGATATCAGAACCCTTATTAGAAAAGAATATTTGGTTCGGAAATGAGGGTCCGTTTGGTATACGGAATTGACGGAATTGGAATTGAATTGGAATTGAAATTCAATGGGATTCAATTCCATTGAATTCAATTCTGACAATTCGAATTCATTTTTTGTACTATCAATTCCAAATCCACATAATTTTTGTGCTATCAAACACCAAAATTGGGATTAAAGTACTCAATTCCAATTTCATAATTTGAATTCCACGTACCAAACGGAGCCTGATAGTTCATTTCATATTCTAGCAAATATATAGTAATTCGTCTTGACATATTATTAAAAAAATGTGAAAGTTGGGAAAACAACTCGTTGCATTTCAGGCATTTCAAAATTCAAATGCCCCTAACAATGCGTCAATGCGCATGAAATAAGGACAGATTCACCATAAATTTACACTGTTCTTCGTCGCCATTAACCAACAAATTTCATAACACATCACAGAATACAACAGCAAAACCAAATCGCAATCCCTAGTTAGCAGTTTCGAATTCCCCCTGCACCAGACCGCACACCCAGCCCATCCTACCCCGCACTAGCCGACCACAAGCTTCACCAAAAGCCGCAAACCGCCCGCCCCAAATGGAATGCCATCGGAAAGCAAAGATGAGTGAAAGAACGGACCTTTGATGGAAGTTGAAGTAGAAGGGAATGGCAAGGACGCTGACGAAAAGGAAACAGAGGTCAGAGGCCAGTTACTCGTTTACCACAAGAAGAAGATGACACTCCATCCACGAGTGTCACGGTACATGAATGTTTTGAAATCTAGACCTGAAGTAAAGTGGGGTAAAGAGTTAATTGATTCAATCGAGTTGAATCTGGTTAACAACTCGGTAAACTTACAACTATTCAAGTGTTGTTATAAGTAGAATTAATTTATTTGTATCTCAATTGTACTCTAAATTGTACTAACATGCATTTTATTTTGTGTCAGTGTAATGCTAGAGTGATAATTTAGACAGACACAAAATGTTATTGCAACATTTTTTATTGTCATAGCATATTGTGTCAGTGTGAATCATCGAAATGTTAGTGTATAATTGATTAAAATGAGAAAAAATAAAGTAAAAAAAGTTTACATTCTACAAGTATGACTTTCTTTTTTAATTAATGGAGGGTTTTTTCAATTACTAGCATGAACAAGGCACATGTATTAACATAGACGGGAGAATTGAACTCGCCTGTTTTACAACTTGGACCCGATTTGAAAAATACTAGATTTTGAACAAAAGTTTTGTTGGCCAAATGCAAAATGACTCGGTAAATATACACTGATCGATCCTCTAACGTAAGAGTTTTCAAAATCATGTACTATAGTATAAAAATTAATGTATTAAAGATAAAATTGTGTTTTTATTACTCATTTTTAGTGTATAGACCTATACTTTTAAACAAATTTTTTAATAATATCGCATTATAATCTTACATTTTTTCAAAAGTGGTACATATTTAAGTTTTTGTTTATTCATAATATTGTTAAATATATCTAAAATAATTAAAAGTTCAAAATAAAACATTTTACGAGCTCTAATATATGTACTTTGATATTTTATTATTTTCTAGTGCAAAATGAAAGTGTTAGCATGAATTTTAATATTCTAAAAATAAATCTTATAATTTGTTGGGTCAACCTGAATTTGATGATACTGGACCATGAACATGTATTTTTCAACCTGAATCCGATGTAACCCAACCCAATGTAACCTAAACTGATCGACCAATATGTTGGTTCTAATTAAACTTAACCATGATATATATTCCAATGCATGATTTCTAAATGAAAAGTGTAATGGCATAGCTCGTAACAAGATGTAGTAATGGCTGACATGCACGCCTTGGGGTCAACAATCTCTCGGTCATGACATTGTATTTTCTAATAACTACTACATAAATATTTGAATGGAAGACATAAACAAGTTCAAACCCGTGAATCGAACGGGTTAATTTGATCATGACATTGTATTTTCTAATAACTACTCCAATATGTAAACAAATGTTAATTTTCTTTCATTATTCCTCTGTACAGTTTATTTGCACATAATTTTTCGTGCACAAGTCTATCTTTGACAAATAATATACTATTAGAAATCTCTCATCAAGATTTACTCAATGACACCAATATTGAATACTACTCATTTCATTTCAATTTAAATTGCATGTATACTATACTAAAAATTACATGTTTAGATTATAAAAATATATATTGGGGGTTCAAGAATGTTTCTAAAAATAGATATTTAACACAACTCATTGGTACACAATTCAACTTAAATAAATTTAATGCCTACTTTCTCGTAAAATGATAGTTTGTGGCTCAATGTATACTAACTTATTAGAGGCATGTATTGCGAGCGATTGAAATGCACAATCCCACATGGCTCAATTAATGATAAAATGTCACGTGTCAAGAAAAAATTTGAAAGTTCTAGAAAATTTAAAAAATTGTTTTCATTTAGGTAATGCTTCTTAAAAATACAATTCTTTAAAAAAAACTCTTTTGTTAAACAAAAAGATCATACTCATTTGAAAAAGGAATTTCATTCTTTTAGTATATAGACTAAAAGACCACTCCCAATTCAAGGAGTGCCAAGAGGGTAAGATCCGAGTACCAGGTAACTATGCTGAGCATAGGATCTCTGCAAGTACCAGGTGCATGCTCCACTCTTTGCCACCAATCTGCGATTAAAGTCCAATTTACCTCTTTTTAGTGACCGTTCGGCCGGGTCTGAGGGGCTCTCGGGGATGGAACTCATCCTTTTTTACTAAAAGACCACTCCCACCAATTCTTGAGACACGGTTGGTGGTCCAAGAATGCACTTTCGGGTTGTGGGTAGGAGTAATCCATTTAATGTTTCATGTTTCAATGTTTTTATGTTTGGCCAACATTTTTATAATTGTTTAGACAATTAATGAGTTTGGGTGTGTAGCTCAAAGTTCATAATTCATGGCTTTTACTTTCTCGTAAAACAATAGTTTGTGAGTCAAGATATACTAACCTACTGGCGGCATTTAATGCCATCGTTTGAAGTGCACAATTTCAATTCTCACATGTTTCAAGTAATGATATAGCCCAAATGCAATACTTTACATTAAATGGTTCGTGGTTCAATATATATCATTTTCTAATGTATCAAAACTCTTACTTTATTTATTAGGTAGTGGGTGCGTGGCTCAATGTATATATCTATCAATGGAGGTGGCTCTAGGGGGTTCAAAAATGTTTTTAAAAACAGATAATTAACACAAATCATTGGTACACGACTCAACCTAAATAAATTTAATGCCTATTTTCTTGTAAAACAATAATTTGTAGCTCAATGTATACTAATCTATTGGAGGCATTCAATGCAAGCGATTGAATTGAAATGCACAACCGCATATGGATCAATTAATGATAAAATGTCATGTTTCAAGAAAAAAAGTTAAAAATTTTAAAAATTTTAAAAAATTGTTTTCATTTATGTAGTGTTTCTTTAAAACATTATTCTTTAAAAAAAACTTTTTTTGTTAAACAAAAAGATCATACTTCTTTAAAAAAAGAATTCCATTATTTTAGATTTTTAGTATACACCACTCCCAATTCTTGAGACACGGTTGGTGGTCCAAGACTGCCTTTTCGGGTTGTTTGTCGGAGTAATCCTTTTAATATTTCATGTTTCAATGTTTGGCCAACATTTTTATAATTATTTAGATAATTAATGGGTTTGGAGGTGTTGCTCAAAGTTCATAATTAATGGCTTCTACTTTTTCATAATAAAATAGTTCGTGGCTCAATGTATACTAATCTACTAGTGGTATTTAATGTCATTGTTTGAAGTTTACAATCCCACACGTTTCAAATAATGATAAAGCTCAAATGCAATATTTTACATTAAATGGTTCATGACTTATTGCATAACATTTTATAATGTATGACATTCTTATTTTATTCACTGGGTAGTGGGTACGTGGATCAATGTTATATCTACCAAAATCTATCATAATTTTTCAATTTTTTTCGAGTGGCTCTAGGCGCATTAGATGAACCCATTTACTTCTTTTTTTACGGGTTAGCTCTAAAGTGTCCATTTGAAAGCATTAAATGCAATAACCTTTTGGGTACATCAATCCATGTTAGAGAACATGTCTTGGTTCGATTTAAATATTCATTTCTTTTTAAAATGATAATAAAGCATAGTCCCCTATCTAAAGACATTTAGCACTGTTTTTTTTATAAAAAATATCGATTTGATTTTTTTGCAAGTAAAAATTTGTTGGTTTAAAAAGTGTGAGTTAAACAAAAGTGCATTCCATTATAATTATTTGAGAAAAGAGATGAAGAAGCTACTTTTTAAAGAGGCTCTAATCCTTTTTAACCACCTAAACTATTTCGGACACAAATTATTTTGTGCAAGGAAGAGAATTTACTTTTAGGAAGACTTCTGAGAATAAAATTTATTCATTCTTTTTTTAATTAACACAACATTCAAAACAACTTAGAAATAGTAGGATACACTATACTCCTAATTTCATGATTGCTTGATTCTTTTAATAATGAATTATTTTATATGGTTTGTGACTTTAACCACAAAACATTTCAACTATGCTTTTAATAAATATAGAAACATGTTCTTACTATTTTGTTAAAGACACCATCAAAAACATTGAAAAAAATTTGAGAAATTTTGAATTTTGATGCATTAAATGATTCGTGACCCAATATATGATGTTTACCAATGTATCAAATTTCTTTATTCATTGAGTAGTGGGTACGTGGCTCAATGTATATATCTATCAAAATCCATAAAAAAAAATTCATTTTTTTCGAGACCATCAATGGACGTGGCTCTAGGCATATTAAGGTTCCCTTCCATTCAACTTATTTTTTCTGATCTGATCTGATATTTTGTAGTTGTGATCTGATCTGATTTGTTCAAATCAGATTAATTATGATTTGATTTAAAATTCAAATCAATAATTTGATTTGACTTTATAATAACGTTTGAAAATTGTAATGATAATTCATATTATAATATAATCAATATTTTTTATTTTATGATTATTTTTTAATGAAATAAAATTACTTAATTCATATATTAGAATAATCATTTATTATCACTACAAAAAACTGCAGAAATGGCGACGGAAATAATCTAGGTAACGACGCCAAAGCCTTATTTCCGTAGGTAATCTAGGTAACGACGGAAATAATGACGGAATCTATCCCGTCGCTACTTTTTCGTTAGTAATAAATGTAACGACGGATATTTCATTCCTTCGTTAGTCTACGACGGAAGTAGCAACGGAACTTACGATGGAAAATATCTGTCGCTAGACATAACAACGGTTTTAGTGACGGAATATGCATTTTGACCATATAGCGACGGAAATACAATTCCGTCACCAATTTGACAGGTTACAACCAGGAAGCTGCTGTTTTTTTCAATTTCGCACACATCCATAGCAAAGCTCAGAAATCCCAGCATCAAACAACAACAATTACTGGAAATGAAGATTACCAAACAACCAAGAATATTCAAGTCACCAATGTACAACTAAAATTCAAATAATATTTATAAAAGTTCAACATAACAATCAAATCTAATTCCACTTACATAACCATAAAACTTAAGTTTAATATATTGTTCTTCAATTCTAATAAAACACTCAACAAGCCCCTGCAAACCCCGCACCTCCTCCATCTCCACCGCCATCTCCATTTCCACGTGATAATATTTTTTATTTTATGACTCTTTTTTGAAATAAGAATATTGATTCAATATTTTAATAATTAGTTCATATATACCATACATTAGAATAAATATTTAATTCATATATACAT